GATAGGAAGTCTAAAAAATCCACACTCAGAAAGACAATACACACTTAAGACAGGGTTTACTCCTTACTACGCATGCTAGACTCCGAGGTGGTGAAACGGCTACGTGTCTCCATTCCTCTCAATTCTACCGGAATATGTGGGGAGTTTTACATGGGAGTTCTAACATCAATCTAACATTGAACACTTATATTCAACCTATGAAGAAAACACAAAAAATGTAGGAACAAACAACAGAATAGCCTCATGAAATTCAGGCATGCACAAGCTGAAATTGATATGCAGTAACAAGTAGAGATAGAACAGAACTCTTGACGGAATGATTATAAAAAAGTATCAATATACATACAACTTCAACTTCTGATTGTAGAACTGCCCCAACACGAAAGATTTTTGATTATGAATTCACTAGAAAATGTTTTCTCTTCAACTCGGCTGCTTTATAACGCATTTTCTGTACGGAGTTCAAAGTTAAATATCAAAATTCCCACACGTGTAAAAAACAGTCTTCTGAAACTTTCATTTTTGTTATTTACCGCACCATAGAGAATATGCACTTCTTAGATTAAAGCATACTATGAAAATTTGTTTGTTTGTTGTACATAGCAAAACATATAATGACTATTTCAGTTCTGCTTTCCCTTTCCATTTCTGGAATTACTCCTGAAACTATTAAGACTCCACTTTCTTTTGTCAAGAAATAAATCAACATAACAGAGATATAGCACTTTATTTTCAACAACTGCTAATATCATTTTAACACCCTAAATATTTCTTCTTCAGCATTTGTATGTGTATATCCAATGACAAAACTGTATCACTTGTATAAACAAATGTCCATATTATACCATCCAAAAAATAATATACATCAGTACTTTGAGATATCAAGTCTAATAAGCTACAAAATGACCTTCCTTAACAACAATCAGTTAATCCCAATCATATCAAAAGCCTTCCTACCGTGGCCACAATTTGGCATTCAGACTCGTATTTTCCAAAGTACTGCCTCGTTCATTACAGAGAAATAAAATATACCAACCAAAAGGAATCAACACGCCTTCTTTCTCCCCATGAGAGATAATCACTTACTGATTGGAACCAATATCTAACAAAGACAACAATAGGATAATTCAAGACAACTGAACATATCTTATCAGGGGTGTGTGCTATGGCGGATACTGATAACTACACATGAAAGTCTACAATCACCTGCATATCATTAATTTTTACTTTTTATCACTTTATATAAAACAACTCATTCTGGTACATTTAACACCAAAAGTAACATTGAAGTATTATGATGATAACAAGAATAAATACATGATATATATATTCATCCATGAACTAAGACTCCTATTAATATCTACGTTACTGCAAACTCAAAATCTAAAATGGATATTAAACATTTTCATTATATGCCTCAACGATTTCAAATACACACAAATTAAAGGAGCCAAATCATACATACAGTATGGTTTATATCTGAACATCACTAATTTCTTTTGCACAACAAGTCACAAAATATACAAGATATTTTTTTTTTACTGTAATTAGTATTCCAAGATATACATCCAAACAAAAATCTAATGGACAATTCCTTCACTAACTTTATTTTCTTTAATTTCAAGCCTTTTGGTACAATTCCTTCACTAACTTCTTTTTCTCTTTACTTTCAACCTTTTTGGAGGAAATACAAATTACTAGATAGAATACATAAAATACCAGACTAATTTACATATTTTTCAAAGGCATTTTTCAACATGGACATAATAAAAAAATGAACTTTCAACACCATTTGTAATTATCATCTTGAAAATCAGCTGTGCAGTAATCAGCTGATCACTTTAAACATGCAAGGATGAGTCACGCTATCAAAGCACACACACACCTATTCACAAATGCATTAAAATTCAGATTCTTTTTCAGATTTCCTCATTTTTTTTTTCTTTTCTCATTCTATTAAAATCCAGTGCATATAAATCATCTCCGTATTTGAAAAGCTCATGCAGTTTAGCTCACTGTAAAAATCACTGGGTAAAACAGAAGCTAAGCCAAGCTAACTGCAAGCAATCAGGACAAAGAGTTACACCTAAAATTCCTTAACTGAGTATGATTAAGCTGTTTCTTCTCTAAGATTACTTACTGATACTTGTCTTTCTTCCTTTGTGGTGGCACAGAACACAGACTGATGAATTCTCTTATTTTCTTTAGCATTATATCTCTCAACAGGTTGTGTTGAAACTTGTGACTGTGGAGTATTTACTATTTTTATTCATTTCCTTAATTTCCTTACATATTTCCAGATACTTTTGGCCAAGTAAGGCAATTCTTCTTCATTTCTCTAGTAAACAGTTTTAAAAAATCTGTCATGACACCTGTAAGTACTTAAGAGACAGTACAGTACTTTCTTCTGGCAAATACATTTTTCTTCAATACATTTTCTTTATATCTCTACTCATTTTATATTTCTTTATTTTTAATAATAATACATTTCCAACAAAAATAAAGAAAGTGCAAATATAATGTCTTTAATGATATGCCTTCTTACAGAGAAATATCCTGTGACACTGAATACAAACAAACAAACAGAAGTATTCCAACAATAGCTGCCAATAAGGTAATAAGTGGTTTAAATTGGTTACTCACTGGCTATTCAGCAATCCTTCAACATGTAAACAGCTTTCCCTCTTTTGAGAGCTAAAAACTCAAGCTATATATATATATATGATGTTTATCTCCTGTTCCTTATCAAATAGTCATTCAGCTATATTTGGGAAATTCTTCCCTGAATAACAAAGTATTTCAATATTGAGCTCATTGTTTTTTATATGCACTGAGCTTGAAAACATACCTCGATTTAAAAACATTGATTGAACTACATTTGAAACTGCACGGACAAACTGGCTTGTATTTGATTCGACCATGAGCACTTATACAGAATTACCTTTCCTATCAACCAACCTATGCCATTTAGGGATTAACTCCTTAATTATCAAACTTACAGCACAGATTGCTGATAGACACTACACGTTCTTTGATCAGTGAATGGATATGTATCTTTCACTAGGTTTCTCATAAATAAAATCTAATATCTACTTTCTTAACTCCTCCATACATAAAACAATGTCTATATGCAAATGTAATATCAAGACACTCCAAAAGTACAAGTGCCTAGACTATGTAGATGTAGAGAAACATTTCCACTTTCCATTTCCACGGGCATTGCTAACTGCAGAATAACTAACAAATGAATGTATACGGCAAGAGTCTAGACTAGCCCCTCATTAGTCAAGAAATAAAATACGACCTGCTCTGACTGCTGCCATATCTGTCCTACATGGCTGCTATCAGCTCAATGGAGCCAACAGCAATATGTGCAAGAGTGGCTAGATTAACACCACTTGGGTCACGTACATTAAGGATACTGGCATATTTTGTGGCACAGTTTAGCCTCTCTCCTGCATTTTACCTATATTCTATTCCTTTCTTACTATTCAGAATTTATCATTACAATAGGAATGGTATTATATTTAAATCATGAAATGTGATTAGAATATCTTGACCTCCTTAAACATAAATTCGATAAATCTATGATTTATCTTTGATTTATGATTTGTGAGGCTCTAACCTTGGCCTGAATATAAACCTTGAAATAACAAAAAAAAAAAGCTAAGATAAACTTGGTAAATCCAACATCATACTCTCTCAAAACCTAAACAAAATAAAAGTAACTTTGATTTTTTTGAGGTTTGGGAGCTTACGAGAACTGCTCTTTGTTATACCTATATGTCAAAAAAAATAGGAAGACACTTCACTTTATGATTTGAATGCTACATTTTTACTAAATAGATGCCCATCACAATACCAAAGTTTCAATTCATAAGACAGTAGCTTTTTAGAAGACACGTGGCTTCCAAACTGGAACTTATTTCTCAGAGTTACACTGATTGTGCTCTATCCGAATCTATTTGAATCCTGCCGTGATCTGTGAAAGAGGGCATACAATCTGGTGCCCAACACAACAGTGCTGAAGTATTAAGCAATTGCACTAACCTCCGCCTTTATCCTCTGGCACAGCTCAACATACCTCCACTACTTGTATCTGGGTAAGAGAGAGCTTGGACGGGTTCTTTATTCAGAGATAAATTACCAGGGAGGTCCACAAACTCTGCCGTACCTGAACACACGCATTGTAGGTTTGTTGGTCTTTTATGGGATACGACTGGCAAGAAGCTAGTGATGGAAGTGAACAGTATTTCAAATATTTACCTATAACTCTATTATATATCATCTCATGACAGAGGTTTACTTGCCTCTAACAAATCTCAAATCTAGACGGCTGCTATGATTGCAAGGCACCGTTATTATGTTGACAACATTGTGGGCCTTTCATTACAGCATTACTGAGTTTTAAGTAGATTTTAAAATAACTATGAGAAAAAGGCACCACTGCTGGTCAACTCTAAACATACACTTTCAAATGCAACAAGACAATCTGACGCATCATAACACAAAAGATCTAAATTATTTTAACTAGGGATTGTAAGTCAGGCAATCATAAAATGTTTATTGGTATTATACTTCATTATTCTCATTCCTTTTCTTACATTATTATCTTGATCTAAATCTTTTTTTCAAATGCTCAACTAACTGTGCACATAATTAGGCCAAATCCTCTCTCCAACAACCTCAAAAACAATAAAAACCAAGACGTTCTACAATCTTCCAAGGGAAAAAAAACACAAACTCCTGGAACTTCTCGAACCAGGAACCAGACTCTTCCGAACTATAACAGAAACTGCCGGCAAACAAGGCCTCTCGCATACTACTACCTCACACCCCCCCCTGCATATAATTATCTCCCGCAGAGGCACAACCCCAGAGACAACACGGGGCAATAACCTCACAATAAACTCTAAAGTAATCTAGGAGATGGCAAAACAAATACAGTGAAAAATATAGTAAAAAGTCTACTTGATTTTTATGAACTTGACAGTCACTCT